AGGTTTAGCCAGGAATTTAGCGAGGACTCCAGCATAACATCCCTACACTTTAATCTTTATAGACCTTAAACATCATCCTAATGACTGAACCTCTTAGAGCAAGGGGTAAGATGGAAGAGCACCTACTACAGTTCTCTCCAACCCCAAACCCCACTTGCAGCAACAGTCTGGATTCCAGCTTCTGTACTGGTCTTGAGTAGGCTCAGACTTGCCTAATGTGAGATCAGGCTACAAGGTAGTAATACTATGTTTTCTTTTTCCAGATCTGCTTCCTGACTGAAGAGCTGAGGAGTTTTTATTGGCAACGTTTAGAACCCAGAGCCACGCTCTGTCAACTGGTGGCTTGAGTACCTCTATCTCCTATTGGTCAGCTGTTTGTATACTGAGAAGCTGTTTCTATTGCAAGCTTTATTATTGGTCAATAAGAGGAGGCATCTCTGAGACTTTTGATCTCATTAAGATGGCGAAACTGAAGTACTGCAACATAAAACACCGCAATAATGATCGAAGTGGAACAAGACAGAGCAGCGCTCATACCTGCAGGCCATATAAATCAAACTCAGAGATGACAGAGAGTAGAAACTGAAGCCAAGCTGCATACAAACTACAGCTGACTGGATATGGTGAGTATGTGATTTCCCATTTGGAAAAGAACATAGAGAACGTGCTGGAAGACAACAGGAAAACTAAGACTTTGCAACTAAACCATAGCAAAACAAAGAAAGGGCAGGGGGAGAAGAGAAAATTAGAAAAAAGAAAAAGGTAAAGAAATAATCAAGAGCAGATAGTATAAGATAAAAAAGTAAAAAACAGACCTTTTGATCTGACACGCCTTTAACTCACTAGATCGGGGACTCCTTTCTGTTTCTTTATGACCTCGCTACCTGCCATGGGAGTTTGGGCAGGCGTTTGCAACTCTGCTGTAGATTTCTCCTGATGTCGATAATAAAACTGCCTCAGAAATTCATTTGGGAGATTTCAATGGCTGTTTGCTTAAGTCAGTTCTCCCTAATGATTATCAGTTTGTAAAAGGCTACACAAGAGGTTCTAGGCCATTAGATCCCTGTTATGGTAACATTAAGAACGCCTTAAGTTCATATCAAACCACTGACATGATGATCTGATCTAATCCAAAAAGAAAGAGCAGGAATTCAAACCTACAATAGATTGAGAGGGGAAAGTGATTCAGAGGAATATATAGGAAGAATTGAAACATGATAAAAGAGATTATAATTCCAAGGTGGAGAAAGTAATGAATAGAAATAATGTACAGGAGGCGTGGCGTAGTATCTAAACCATGATTGGCCAGGTGCCCCTTAGAAATGGGAGCTGGCTTGAGCACACACCCCACTATGTAAATGAACTGAATTTTTTTTGCTCTGTTCGAGAGTAGAGAACTAGGAGAACCTATTTTTAACAATGTGATTGGCCCCACTGGTGTGTCTCCCTTTACTGTAACATCTAAACAAGTGGAGTGTGTGTTTTTTGTGTTTTAAGGACTCGTAAATGAATGTGCCTGCAAAATCTGGAAGGCAATACTTTGCAAAAATGAACAAGTCATGAAGAGCTTAGTCCTGTATTTTATAAATTATTCCAAAAGTCACTGGACATATATACAGTTCTGAGTTTGTGGAAGACATCTGCACATTTGCATAACTCTAGTTAAAAACTGAAAGTGGATGGAAAAAAAGGGAAAGATAAAATAACACACATAATTACTTTTTGAATTCAAGAAGGGAGGTTTGTACGGGTAAGAAGGCATGATTGGATCTATTTTTGAGGGAGAAATTGGACAGATTTTTCTTCCTTTGAGAAGAAATGTATTTTTTCATATGGCTACATTATCTGTTTGGCAGGGTGTTTTGGAGACAAGTCGCTCTGTGTTTGTTTGTTTTATTTTATCAGGGTAGACCTGTTTTTAACTGCTATTTGCCTCAGGTGTGTTCTGGTCTTGGGTTCCATCTACTGATCAACCTTACAGATTCCTTTAACCCCCGCGGCATCACACTTTCATTTAGTTTACATGGAATACTTATTACCTAAGAGCGACGTGTTTCAATCTGAGATTTAGCTTTTTTATTTTAAATAGAAAGCCTGACATTACTTTCACTTTCCTATTTTCACAGCAAGAGTCTGGCCTCCTGGAGACTCCTGTTGAATTCGCTCTCGGCCTGTTCTCACTCCTCCAGCTGGTCTGTCACCCCTGAGGCTGGAGGAAGGGCTCTCCTGTGGGTGAAGTGTCCTGGGCTCCTGTTGGGTGAGCAGTACTTCATCAGTGCAGCTGCTGGAGGATATTACAGAGCTAAAGGTCTTAGGTGGCACTGTTCCCTGTGGCCCATAATGTCCATACCAAAGCCCCAGTACAGAGACTCTTGGAGTGAACTTAAAATATCCTGGGCCCTACAGCGCTCAGACAGGTCATTTCACCTCAAACTCGTGAAGTTACACCTGAGCTTCACGATTGCTGAAAGGTAATTTTACATGCTCCTGGACTTGTACTAAGCATGTCACTTCCAGCCTTACCTGATGCAGCTCTAGTTGAGATCAAATCTTGTTATGGACATGAATGGTATGATTTGAGAGCCATGTCATCCTAGCAGAAACCCATCACTGACACTTGTGCTATTATTATAGACAGCTTTAATTGATTTATATTACAGTTATTTAAGACAACATTTTACATACAGCTATATAATGAATCATAGATAATGATTGAACAATAGGCTTTGTATTGATTCTATTTTCCTCTGGGCTTGAGCAACTGTCCCTCCCTGCTGCTGACAACCCAATTCTACAGAATACCTGTCATGAGTTGCTTTGAACTGTGGGAATTCTGTTTATCACTGCACTTAAATGTGTGTATCTGTATGTATATAGGAGCAGAGTAAAACTAGTCAGGTGAAGGCCAGAAACTGAGTACTACAGATGGATGTTGGGCACATTGTTAGGACCGATTTTTAGGCTCATGATTTTCAATATCAATTACTGTACATGAAACAGACATGAAATGGTTTCATAGCAGTTTTGCTTCTACAGTAAGTAGCCATGTCACAGTAAAATCTGTTTTCATATTTGTTAGTAGAAGACTGATTGTATTTCTATATTATTTAACTCTCAACAGTGCTGATGATCACAGGCCTTTCCCCTGCGTTCTTGAGCTGGGGGGATCATGAGGACCACCTGGACACTCAGCACAGTCTGCAGCCTCACCTGCATGAGAGGTCATTCTGAACAGCAGGTTCTTACGTCATTAAGAGGGAGTTTTGATGTAGGATTTTGTCTTTCAGGGGTTTAAAATATGTCACATCCCAAATTCTAAGAAAGATTGTTATGAAAATGTTGGAATTGTTATGAAAACAACAGAGTGATCATTTTATACACATTCTCTGTTTTCAGTAACAGCTTTGCACCTGGAGTAACAAATGTTGAAAGTTGTATCTCTTCATGTCTCTTGTTTTTCAAGGAATGAGTGGATAGTTTAATGTTTCGTGTTTTGTTTTGTGAAAAAAAAGGAAATGTAAACTAACTTTGTAAGCAAACAAAGAATGGTTTTCCTCCTGAAATGTCTTTTTCTGAGTAAACTTCCAGTTTCATTATATCTATGCTGTGGGGACTAGACAGATCTCTCAAAGACCAGGATAGACATTAAGATTGATTAACATTTGATACGTATTTGTCCTATAGTAGTAAACAGTAAATAGTTTAATTCTGCTTCATGCAGATTAAAAATTAATCCCTTGAATGTTCAGAATGTTTATTTTTTCTGTCACTAACAGTTAAATGTTTAAGTTTTTCTTCCTTTAAATATGTGTATCTTAATCTTTAGCAGTTAAATTGCTTATATTCTTGAACCCACACCCAAAATGCCTATTTAAATGCGGAATGGTGTTCAGAGCTGTTGTGTTGTGAAGCAGATTGTGGGTGTGTGCATTATAGCACAAGACAGGTGATAATTAACCATCTAGTGCTCTTTCAGAGGACAGTGTGCTCTTCTCGTACAGTGCTGTGATCACTGTTCTTTCATGGTGTTCTCAGCCACAGGAAAGCACATTAAACCTCTTTGATGGCTTTACATTCTCTCTCAAATCCCTGCTAATGACACACTGAATATTTCTACACAAAACGCGTTCACTTAACAATGGAGTCTCTTGTCCCTTCTGGGTCTCAGGAGTCAAGCTGCAAGCAGGACTAGGCTCTGAGCTGAACCTGCCCGGGGTAGAGCTACTCTTCCAGATCCTTCTTATTGCCAGAAGCAGGTTGGGCAAGAGCAATATTCACTTAAAGAGCTATGACATTAAGCAAATGCCTCTACAGAATTATTTTACCAACATCAGTTGTGCAATCAAGCAGTTGCTTGGCCACAGGCTACATGCCTTTGTGTACATTCAAGCAACAGCTTGAGTTTTACAGGCAAAGTGCAGGGAAGAAGCTTGTGCAACAGCTACCATGGATGAAGATAAAGCACCTTAAATTCATGACTGAGTGGCACTCTGAGCAGCCTGAAAGGGTAAAGGAGACAGATGCAGGCTCATTAAAGAAACAGGAGGCTCACTTCCAACATGAAGTGATCCAAGATACCCAAACAGTTTGGTTTAAGAAACAATCCAAAGACTAATTTATTGCAAAAATCGAAATAGAAACAGTACAGGTGTAACACGACCGGCTGTTATCCAGACGCTCCGGCGGCCCGCAGTCTGGAGCCCCAGGAGAGGAAACGCTCCAGTCAGGACAGCCGGCCGGAGAGACGGTGGCCACCCGGGACCGCGAGGTGAGTGCGGCTGGTCTCCGGGATCAACTGCTGCTTGAACAGGGGAGAAAAAGCGTTTCTAATACATATAGGCGCAAGTTCTGGCCTCTCGCCAAAGACAATACAAAGGTAGCACCTGTTTTTTAAAATAACCTATTTATTCGCTGGGAGGTGTTCAACGGAGCGCAACCATATTTCCCCCACCCTCAGATTAAGTGAGCGCAGCTGTGGGTTTCTTCATCACATTCTATTGCTTTACCATACTGAGAAAAGTCCATTGGTCCTGGGATTTCTCCGACTACGAACACAAAGGTCTCTTTAAACCCGAAAGCAAGAGGCTCTGTAAGCAGAGTGCAGACCGGTTGGAGTCTCGCCTTCGAACTGACCGCTCATCTGTCCGATTTCACGCCACACGGGAGCTCTTCGCTTCGGCAGTCAGGCTGTTGTAGAGGACAGGAAGTCTGGGAAGCTGAAGAGGAGAAACTAGTGAATAAGACACCTGCTGAAACACCAACAGACCCGAGAAAGCATTAAAAATACAGGTAGCCATTTTAAATAGTAACAATAATCCGTTCTATTTCGCCTGTTGAAAAAGATACGAAAGTTACTGGTTCAGTTTGAATTCAACGTCTCTTTCAAAACCATTTACTGTCCGCCTTCTTAATTATTATGATGCCTTCTCTCGTTTCGTTTTGAACTGTTCCCATCCACATATGAAGCAAATTTGACCGACATTCTGCTTACCAAATAAAGCAAAACATCCCGGGAGTATTTTCCTGTCGCTGCAAAGCCGCCATTTAAGGACAAAGACGCAATCCTCCTGCCAGAACCATTTTAAAAGGACACTAATTGAAGGCGGATAAAGATTGATCACACCTAACTGTGGACTGTTAATTAATTAGACATGTCTAAAACACGGACTGGATCCTGGAGTTGACATGGATCCCTCAGTCTTTCCGACACAAGTAACTGGAGTCAATCCCGTTCCATACTTTTAACTGAACCGCTGATGAAATAACCTTATCGAAACTTTAATTGAGGATTTACGATTTGTGTTCAGTTTAATTCAAAATACTATATCCATCCCCATCTATCATCAATAGTAGAAGGTTACAAGTTAGCGACACCCTTGCGCCAGAAACAGTGTTTCAGAATTCCGTCTTTTAGCTTTGGGTCAAGGAGTAAGAATTATACTGTTAGTGTTTGACAGTCAGTCTCACCTGTGATTACTGTACTGTGATTACTGTTCTGCACGTCACTCATTGACCGTGGTTCCCTTTTCACTGTAGAACCCGTGTATACAGTGTAGAACACGATATAGACTTTTAATGACTTTTTAAAGTAATCAAAATGAATTTGCATCTTTTCGAGACACTTACAGTATCAGTTAATATAAAACTCTGTTTCCACTACTTCATTGCCAGCGGTCTGATATTCATAAACAACACTTTCACCACCTGCACTCTGTGCATTTGACTGCATTTTTGACTACAATAATTTTCACATATTATGGTATATGAAGTAATAGCGTCTCTAACAGTAATAATAAGGAGCGATGTGATGCTCCATTGATTGCAAAACTTATTTTATTACATCCTTGTCACTATTCTGTTTTCTATGCACACACCAGTTCACTTTCTATTTACATCCATTGCTTTTGATTTGTAAATCTTTCATCTTTAAACTTCTATGTGGAACCTCGTCAAACGCCCATGGAAATATAAATATATTATGTCGTGACACCTGCTGTTTTTAAGGAACTATAGGGATATTCTGCCCGGACACCAGCTGGAGTACAAAACATATAGACCGATTTAATCGTCCATGTAGTTTTTTTTT